TAAAATATGTATAAATATAGAAGTGGGAGCGATATTTCAAAGTGGACCACAAATCTTGCACTAAATACAGTCATGAACTATTTACATGTAAACAATTCAGTAGTGTAATCGAAGCTGCTGGATGTTTCGGAAAACAAATTATGAAGTTTAATTTTGGTGGACATACAGTTAATAAGGAAAACTACAGTCGAACATCTATTATGCGGTGACTTTTGGGAAGAAAACAGGTGACCGTTTAAAGGAGGTCACGTTTTACAGCAATTAAATGTGCAAAAGAATAGATGGGAATTCAAAAGTGACCGCTTAATGGAGGGAGTCGAACGATACAATTTCATTTTTTTATATTATATTCAACAAACTTTTTTGAAGCGGCGGGCATTGCACTATTCACTATCGCGTTACATGGTCGACTCTCCATCCAATGATATATGTAGCGTAAAATTTGTTGTTGGACTATAATGTTGTATATTATAATTGTACTCGGTTCAATGACGTACGTGGTGAGAACTCTAAAAGCGACACGAAACAACAAACACAAAATATTTCCCTGTGTTTATTCAATACAGTATCATTGTGTAGTTAGATGATCATGAAGTAGAGTCATAACACTTGCACCGTGAAATATGATCAAAATAAACAGTAAATATTAGTGTCTATTTATTGACTAATAGTAGATATTACTGAACCAGAACACAGTTCATGAAAACAAAAGGCAATACAAAGGAGACTTGACAAGTGCCATCTTTATTTCATGTACAATCAAGACAAAAGACACATCTAGATCTAAAATAACCACACAATACACTATAGGGAGCGCGTTTAACGAATCTTTATTTATTTGCGCTGCTGCTGTAAAATCAAGACAAAAGACACATCTAAAGCTAAAATAACCACACAATACGCAAGGAAACGCGTTTAACGAATCTTYATTTATTTGCGCTGCTGTAGAATCAAGACACAAGACAAATCTAAAGCTAAAATAACCACACAAGACTAAATGAAACGCGTTTGGAATCTTTATTCTCTGCGCCGCAGCAAAATTAAGATAGAAGACATTGTAAGGCTAAATTGAAAATACTGTAACAATAGCAAACCCAGTACGCAAATGAACGTGTTTTCTAACGAGTTTATTATAAGAGCCAAAACTAAATATCAAGACAAGACGCACTGAAATTTATTTGCGCTGCTGTAGAATCAAGACACAAGACAAATCTAAAGCTAAAATAACCACACAAGACTAAATGAAACGCGTTTGGAATCTTTATTCTCTGCGCCGCAGCAAAATTAAGATAGAAGACATTGTAAGGCTAAATTGAAAATACTGTAACAATAGCAAACCCAGTACGCAAATGAACGTGTTTTCTAACGAGTTTATTATAAGAGCCAAAACTAAATATCAAGACAAGACGCACTGAAATGACCCGCAAAAATCTATAAACAACGTGGTTTCGAACGAATTCTATCGCTCAAAGCTGAGTTATTTGACTAGTCAATATAAAAAAGCGACTTGACAACAACCAGCGGCGACGTTTTATATTTATCCTTTGCTTTAAGCTCAAAATAAAACACAATAAATTTTATTAATCATTTCGGAAATGTTTGTGAGATACGTACCTTTTGAGCATGGGACATTAGTTACCAAATCATTATTTCAAGCAGCACTCGTAACAGTTATAAAGTTAGTTACTATAGCTATCTATTTCACTTTCACCCTATAATCAACTCTTTTTGTCCTTTCAATAAACTCGATTTCCATGAAGCCTACATTTAACACAAGCTCTAGCCCTTCCCGACATCTTTCCTCTGGGTTTAACAAAGAACTAAACCAGCAGCTCTTTATTTCTTTCCTTAATTGTGGGTGGGACATTTTTTTAACAAATTCCTCCTTCTTCATTAGGTAGCTTTTAATAACGTTGTTTGGCTTCCAAGTCTCTTGTGTATTACCTTTTGTTGTTAAGAATTGTTTTGGTTCAGTGATATCTACTATTTCATACAAATAGTCAGTAAATAAAAACTAATAGTTACTACTTCTTTGATTTTGTTTCACGGTGCAAGTGTGATGACTCTATAAAGTAACCTAATCGATATTTGCTGCTTTTTCAGATCAAGTAACGCAGCTTGTGAAAAGGCATCTAGCTACTTTGGCAAACCAAACGAAAACCTAGAGGAACGGAAGTGCTCGGAAACTCATCATCCTCGAATTTGCAAATTCATGAGAACAGTATTGAAAACATTTGTCTTGGAGTGCCAAAGTGATATCTGCAAATCATCGGTATCCATGGGTGTTCTCAATAATGAACAAGGAGTTATCACAAATTGGGAAACAATCGATCCTTTCAATACAAAAACCGCAAGAACATTTGTAGAAAAGCATCTTGCGTCGCATGACTTTGCGTTTATCAAGTGTAACGATATCCTTCAAGCATTGGTCTTCCCACCGAAAATAAAGCACCTTAAGAACTTGAGTTTCCGTAGCAGGATCAACATTAACATCATAGTGCTGGATAGTATAGCCAGACCGCACTTTTACAGGGTTATGAGGAAGGCTATTGATACAATGAGGAAAGTTGTCTACGATAATTCTATTCCTGCTACTGTTCTGGACTTTGAGTTATTTCAGAGCATTAGTATGCATACCTTTGATAATATGAGACCTCTGTTTTCAGGAATTGTTCAAGGTAAGTTATATCTAAATGTAGATTCTTATGCAGGCATCTCTTCTCTTCCTTCCCGCTGTCATTTTGCTTTCGGGTTCCCAGTCTTCAGTATATCCAGCGGAGACATTGACCCAGCAGAGAACTAAGAGAAGAAAAGCCTGCCAAAAGTTGATCAACGTGAGTCATCGTGTAGTTTCACCTTATTGACTAGCCTGCTAACAGGCGTTTCTGCTGTGGTCAGCCTTATTGACTTATTATGTTACCCGGGGTAGTTGCTTACTTGGGAAATACTTACGTACAAATTGACTGGTATTAGAGAGAGTTGCCGGACCTTTATTTATCGATCATAAGTTCCGGTTCAATGTAGCTGGACCCAACGCAATTGGTCATGAGGTGTCGTAGAAAACCTTTGTGTAAAAAGATCAATTTAACACCGTAAAAAAGGTGAAACAACTTATTGAAGTTTCGGACGTTAATACTTCGTCGTGGTAATGGAACAAAGAAACCCACTAATTGAATATATAGGGCAGGGGGATGAAACCTTAACAGGGGATAATTAATAGAAAACAGCGAGCGGTGAATGTTCAAAATCAGGAAAAATACGACACGGCCTATTCTTCGTTTTCACTATACGTCACAGCGGCCATCTTAATTGGAGGAACTCCGATAAAGGCTTTCTCAAATAGTATCTATTGTGACACTGGTGAAAAACGCACTGCGCATGTCCACTGCTTTCCCACTGAAATCTGCCTAATTTCCTTTGTAAAGCGATTTTTGTGAAAGTTATATAAGCTCGTTCACCGATCTATATAAGATTCATATTTCCATAATTTTTCATGATAGGTTCTTTTAGTATGAACGGTTTGTATTTTTATCTTGTCATTTCTATTTTGAGAAAATGAGGTTTTTCGTAGTGTTTTCTGTGTTGTCGCTGTAAATCGCCAGGCACTCTGTTTACAGATTTCAAGACGCGAGCGCACACTGGCGGGGGCATGCGCAGTGCGTTTTTCACTCGTGTCATCTATTGTTCATTCATCCAACATGGCCGCCTGTCTTTTATCTTTTGAATCTCATGGGAATGGTTGAAGACGTTCAATTAGCGGGGATTCGAGTCTCGCACCAGTCCCTGAACTGAGTCAGAATTTTAAATCGTAATTAGAAACTTGAAGAAAACATATCATATCTCTTTTCAGGTAAAACTAACTTCATTGAAGTTCAGAAAACGCAAATGCCACTTGGTATCCACGTCCTAAACGACGAGTTCAAACGCCTTGGCTACACTACACTATACCAGGAAGATGTGTGCTGGCACGACCATTGGGGTGTCAACCTAAATAACATGCTAAGAAACGATGGAAAGGCGTCTCCACAAAGGTTAGTGAATGCTTATTGTACGACTGTAGACCGGTCTTTGCACAACTGAGTTACATTCCATGAACACTTGAATGTAGGATTTTTTTCATGGAAGGRGTGGTGGTGTTAGAAGGGTTCTTCTTGCTTGGAAATCATTGAAAGTTCCTGGAATTGAAAACTCGTTTTCAAGGCGAAGAAAACTTAAAAGTATTAAAACTCGTGGAAAACTCCTTGAACGTGATGAAACTGACTTTAGATGAAAATGAGGGTCATATATTCATTCTTAGACACATCAACATAGCCTATATTTTTATGACTTTATAAGACCGAGCTGGGCATATTACGTGCTTTCGAGGTTAAGGCTGCACAAATAATCTTGAGTCTTTATTCTAGCAAAGGAATTCGTTTCAAAGCACTGGGGAAAATATCCTTTATTTCCTATCAGAGACGGTATTGTATAGATTAGGTGTAAATTAAATGAAAGTTTCTTGATTATTGCAGGTGGAATGAGTTTCAGAAGATCGCCAGGACTCACCACATTGATCGCTATGGTTTGACGTATTTCAGCTGCGAGGTTCTCAAGAAGTATGGCCTAACAAACCATTTTGACAGACCTTCTCAAGTCTGCTTGAATGGACAGTTCTATAATGAATATTTCTTGAATTATGTCAAAGGTACGTTATTCGTTTCATAACAGTTTTACCTGTTTTGTTGTTGCTGTTGCTGTTGCTGCAGTTGTTGTTGTTGCCCTTGTTGTGGTTGCGGTCGAATTTTTGTTGATGATACTGTTGTGGTTGTTAATGTTGTTGCTGTCATATAAAGATGCGRTAACGGCGGCAATGATTTTCCATTGTGTTTACCCTATGATTTGTTAATGAATTTAATAATGTAATGTTCAACCGACAATTATATAGCTGTTTTTTTCGGGCGATCCATTTTTTAATAGTCGCCTAGATTTTCTTATTCACAGCGAAGATCACAATTCACTTGCACAATCCTCGTTCTAAGACTTTGGCAAAATGTTTGTAAATATCTATTTAATTGTCTGTGTGTATTTTATAGATTTCGTAGAGGAACTCCAACACCATGAGGACAGTTCTCCTGTTTTATCGTATTCCCATATTAACAGCGCACATACAGACACTGGATCCAGAATACGAAACGACGACAACGGTCTGTCAGACTTTATTCTTAGCATGGCAAGGTAATGGTAGAGTAAATCTATTTATATTATAGCTATCATAGTACGCGCTCTTTGATTGATCAAATGTTATTGGTTTATTTCACCGGTAACCGCACGAATGTGAAAATGCTATAATAATAGTAATAAACGACACATTTTCGTGCTTTCCTGGTGAAATAAACCATTTGGGATGTTATTTATTGCTTAATGAAACAATAGAGAAGTTCAGTCAAGGGCATTATGCTGTGATGGTTGCCCGTGGAAACTGGATATTCCGAACAGCAATGCTGTGAAGTTTTGACAGGAACATTCAGTTTCTAAGGGCAATTATCGCAACAGAATGTTACAGATTTCAACTGTTCTATTGTTTTAATCATTCATCAACAAAAGTTTCTGAATCCTCGGGCTCTACGCAGTGATAGTATTCCTCCGCGGCAGGCTTTATCGCGACTCTCCGTCAAGAGAACGGAGGAAAATTTGTTGTTGAATTATAATGGTACATATTGCAAACAATATACAGACATGAATTATACGAATTTCAAAATAGAGTACTAAAGCGCGTGAACCGTGAAACAAAATAAAGGAAAAGTTGGTGGGTGCTAACCCTCCTATACCGCAGTACGGGTACTGAATTGCGAAAGACGCGCTCGACGCCCTCTCAAGTCGATGTGCCATATTACAGACGCATTTTACATACACTTACGCATACGAAACAACGTCGATTGATCGCGGAGCACAGCAGATAGAATAGGTTCGTTTTTACTAATGGAGGAAATACCGAAAAAGACTCGGAAAACCTCTTTAAACAAGGGAGAGAACAAAAGTAACTCAAATCACATGTGGCGTCCCGACCGAGATTTAAACGGGGTCCATAAAGGTGACAGGGCAGCGCTCTCATCGCTCGGCCACCCTTTTCTTCCCAGTAGCACAAAGCACAAAGTATTTACCAAAGTATTTTTTGTTTATACTTATTGGCTAATAGCACTACATGTCAATGCCCTGTGTGAAGTCATCAAACCCATTTTACATTTTTTACCACAGGGACCCCAATACTCTGACGATGATCATGTCAGACCACGGGCATACCCGCACAGGATACGGACAGACAGACGAAGGCAAGCGTGAATTGTATCATCCCCTTCTGTTTATGATCGTTCCGTACCATGTGGCTGGTCTACTGGGGAAAGATCGCATGGCAGCTTTGGTTAATAATCAAAAACGTTTGTTAACAACGATGGACCTTCACAGAGCATTGATGACACTACACGATGTGAAGCCTTCCAGTGACTATCAGGTTATTAGCGTGTAAAACGTATATAAAACGCGCGCTCTGATTGGTTCTTATAAGATTCGTTACATAATTTTGAACGTTCTTAAAATTCACAGCGTAGACGACAATAGCTTCCTTCCTAAAATAGAAAACAATTAGTTTTATTTTGGGCTCGAGGATATTCCCGTCTGTACCGAAATTTTAAGATACTACAGGGTATTGATATCCAATTCAAAGAAACGTGGATGTCTCCTTTAAATAATTTGTTAAAGGCCAACTTGCACGGTAAAACATTTCCTTACAACCATCGCATGCAACCTTATGACATCCTTAAAGCATGAATTGCATCGTGTAAATATACCCTACTATAATAAACCTTGTACGATTTTAAAATTTTAATTTTGGTGCAATCACACCACATTTGGCGATGTTTGCTAAACTCTAGTTGGGAGGGCAGGGGAAGATTTGGATTTCAAAATGGCCGGAACAGATGTCAACACACCGGCAAAACATGCGAAAAAATAGAAGAAAGACGTAAAATTCATAGTGCAAGACACAGAATTTTAAGCTGACATCTTTATGGGGACCAGAAGAAGTATTGTTTAATAGTCTGCTTCACGGTTACGTGCGCTATCCTGAAAGGTAGCCGTGCCTTTACATGGAAGCGAAACGACCGTTGAGCGTGCAAAAATAGATACTTGTGAATAATTGTCTGTAGATGTGAAAGAAGGTTTCTATCATTGCACGCTAAACGGTCGTGTCTCGCTTCGATGCAAAGGCACGGCTACCTTTCAAGATGGCGCAGGGAACCGTGAAGAAGACTGTTGCCGCAACAAAGATTATTTCAAGAAATAATCAAGAGCAGCGGTCCTCGAGCACATTTTAGTCGCGAGAAATATCGCAAGCAAGCTTTTTATGTCGTAAGCTAAAAGTAGTGCGCGTGTAAATAACAGCTARAATATGTCGTTAGCAGCAGGTTGCATGCGATGTGCCGTGTAAATTGGCCTGTAATTCCTAATTCCCCCACTGTCTTTGAATTTCCCTGCTTAATTCATGATGTCTGGTGTAGGTTGCTGGTGTATTCGCAAAAATCCCTCCAACTCGAAAATGCAATCACGTCCAACTGATGCCACTTGTACGGTGCCAGTGCGAGGGCTCTGAGACTCAACTAGATGACAATGCTCATGGTTATCGATGGCTGGCCGAGTTCGCCCTAGGAACGATCAATAACATTGTACAGAAACAGTATTCACAAAGTAAGTTGTTCTCAAACAGAAACTAAACATTTAATTGAAAACATTTCAAATATTGGTGTTTACTAGCAAATMTTTGGAAGTCAGCTACTGCCCAAACTCTCGGTCCCAAGCGCGATGCCCCGAGCCGGGAACACAGAACTTGTTACAGTGTTCTTGATTTTTTTTTACACGACGCCCTTTAGGCCCTGTTTATATGAGATAGGGCGCCCCATGAAGGACTGAAAGAGTTTGGCTCTACACCTAGGGGCACCCTATCTCATGTAAATTAACAAAGCCTAAAGCGGTTTTGTTGTCGCAGTTTTGGTTTAGTTTAATATGATTTGGTTGCTTTGGTTTTGTTATTGTTTTTGTTTTATTTTGTTTTTGTTTTTGTGTTTTTTGTGTTTTGTTTTGTTTTATTTTTGTTTTGTTTTGTTTTATTTGTTTTTGTTGTTTTTTGCTTTGATTAGTTTTGCTTTGTTTTTGTATTTTTGTTTTCTTTTATTTGTTTTTTTTTKKTKKTKKTKKTKKTKKTKKTKKTTKTTTTTTTGCTTTTGTGTGTTTTGTGTTTTGTGTTTTTGTTTTTGATTTACTTTTTCTTGATACAAATAATATTATCTGCATAAGGTATCAGCAAAGACTCTCCAGTTCACAAAGGCTTTGGTAATTGTGTACGAATGATAGGAACATCATTTCGTCACATCGTTCAAACTATCGAAGGCACATCATCAACCTTTAACGTCCATATTAACGGTCCTACTATTGGCTTAGAAAACGATGAAATATTCACCTTCGCTGTAGAACTCAAGAATGGAGTACCGACTCTAAAATCTTACGACAGACAAACCCTCTATAACAAGTTCAAAACATGTTCTGATAAAACTGTGGAAATCAAACTCTGCGCTTGCGACAAACGCAAGAAAATTACTGAAGTTAATGCCCTCAAACCACAAGAAATGAAAGCTTTAGTTTCTACTCCAATGTTTGACTCTGTTCCTGAAATTAAGGATTTACACGGGGGATGCTTATTTCAAGTTACAAGAAAGCACAAAAGTAGTTTTAGTATAGCTTATGAGATTGCTAATTCCTGCAAGGGACAGAAGTTTAGAATATCAGTGTCGGGGTCAGTAGAGTATGTCTTTCTATCGAGGTCTGTACCATTCGACGTCGAGGTCGAACCAAATGAGATCTTGTTTTTGTTCTCAGCAGCAAGACAGATTTTGAACTTTAGTTTTATGAACATTAAACTGACGGCTTCAAAGATTTAACATAAAAACCTTTTATAGAATTTCACTTTTTATACCCATGTACTAGCGTTGACGCACTGAATCCGTGAAAACTATATTTGACTAAATTGTCGAACTATTTAGTTTGAACAGCTGCACGGATTAAGTGCGATCACTCTACCAATTAGTAATTATTAGTAAGTAATTAGAGCGATCGCACTTAGAGTCATTTTCATCCGTCTGTGAAGTAGTTACTACTAGTCGTGTTTAATAGTAATTACTAGGGTGTAGTAGGCTACCAAAAACTGAAGGCAAAATCAAAACCGCGTTTGCCGTTATTTGTTTCTCGCGTGTCATAAGTTAAACTATTGGGAGCTAATAGGGAGTAATAGTATTTAATAGTACAATTCCCATTTCACAGACGGATGAAAATGAATCTAAACCGTGTAACTGTATGTAATATATAACGTTGAGGTAAACTAGCTCAGGTTTTAAAGAAACTTTTGAATAAAAAAATCAATCTGACCGAGAAAATCAGAGTTAAAGTTTATGCAAATGAACAAGAAATCTGTATGTAATATACAACTCTCTTCATGGGCTATGATTTCTATTGTGTTTTGCCTTATGAATATTAATGAGTTTTATAAAAATTAAATAGTGCTAATTAGTTGTATTTATGGTAAATCGTGCAAGCGGTACGTAAATTAAATTGAATTGATACACAGGAAGCATACCGTCTTGCTTCAAGTCTACTTTTAATACAAATTAGTACTACTTAGATTTTGTGTAGTTGCACGCTTAAGTGCGATCACTCTACGCAAATTGAATTGATACAAATGATGCATTCAATGCCATTTTGCTTCAGGTCAACTTTTAGTACAAATTAGCTACCTTAAATTTTGTACAGTTCCACGGTTTAAGTGCGATCACTCTAATGAATTCGAAATTAGTACTATTTATCAATTTCGACCACTCTTTGTACATTTCATATTTAATATGTACTATTGAGGGCATTGTATAAATACAGTGAAATTCCACTGTGGAGAGTGAATACAGATCTAGACACGAAGCGGTATGCACAGTAGATAAGTGTGGGTGCTAGTGATCATTTTGAATCGTCCAAAGCTTGATGCAAGCTGTGTCGTTATCTAAAATTTCGTCCCTCTCGCATCGGGGTCACAAGTAAAATGCTTACTAACAGGGTAGTTTACTTATATGGGTGAAGGGGACAGAGGGTAGTTTCCTAATATGGTGGTGACGCGTCATCAGCTAGCATTGAGGATTGTACGATGGATTGGCACCAGAAACTCATAAGGAGATTGAAACTGTAGCAACAGTACATTTCTTTGGTTCGATGCTCCGGACTATTCAAAACGCCAATAAATCAACTGAAGTCATTTTACAACCATATTTGGAACAATGATATACCTCATTCCATGTCCTTTGGATGGTAATCAGTTGATTTTGTACGATTTTCAGCTCTTTTGAGCATTTTAGCTACATTTTAGAACCATTTAAAACGAGACAACTTTTTGCCGCCGTCTGTCCGCCATTTTGTTTTCATCTCAAACTCAAATGTTTGGCCCAAATATGGTATCAAAATTATGCTAATCATTTTGAATATTCCGGAGCATCTGACCGTGCTACACGTTTCAATCCCCGTATGAGTTTCTGTTGGCACTTAGGGCCTACCCTGGGGGTTTTTGTGTTTGGCGGTTGAGTTTTAGCTAGGGAACCACGCCATTTGATCGGACGGAGGACTGGTACCAGTGTATTCAAAATGGCGCACGGTTAGTTGTAACTGTTACTACTATAAATATGGAAAGAAATGGACTAAACAGATCATAAATTCATGTTTATTCATCACAGGCTTATTTGACTAGCAATAAAAGACTCAAGTAMGTAAATAGCGTRTYATTTTGTCCRTGAACAAGAATTTTTCACGACTCAAAACAAGGAGTCTCCTAAAGCCCGTGATCGATGTCGCAATGGCAACCACTTTTTGGCACATAGGTTTTCAAAAATGTAAAATATGCTTAAGGACGTTCGAGGGCATTGCTACTGCGCACGCCCAAACCGGAAGTTGTCACGAAATTGCATCACGCAAAACAAAGATGGCGACCGCTCTTGTTATGTGTTTATGAGGTTTTGTACGTACTTTTCTGAACTTCTACTTGAATGAAAAATGTCTTCGTGTTCAAAACATGAGAGATTTACTACTGCTAAAGAATTGATGAGGCGAAAAAGTGTTGAAAATGCTCTAAAAAGTCGTAGATTGGCAGAAAAAAGTCTCTCGCAATTCAAGATGGCCTGCAAAATCTAAGATTTCGACACGAAATATTTCGACAACGAACCCGGTAACCCCAATTTCTATTTATCTTAAAAGAAGGCTACTTGGAAAAAATATAACATATGTGAAAGCGGAAAAAACGACAACAGAGGTTTCTGAAATATAGCAGTTTTAGCTGGAAATGACACCTATTCTTGACGTCGAATGTGGCGGCCTTACACGAACAAAAGTCCTAAAGAAATCAAAAATCACATCTCATATCATGTAATGTTTCAAAGTCTCGTAAACAATATTAACAATTATCGCCCTCAGCTTTTGTGGAAAAATTTGGATCAACTGATATGTGTTTTATATTTTTCGGGAAGTTTTTTGGTAGACGGCATCGACCCCTTTTCGCGCGCTTTTCTTTGACAATTTTGGTGATTTTGTGCAAGAATTATCTCTAAAATGAAGCCGGTGACCTCCACTTTTTTATCGCTTTTTTGCAAGTTTATGTCATCGCGTATTTCCCCAAAAAATTTCATCGAATTGACATCACGGAATCCAATGCCAATGAACGTCCTTAAGTTTTAATTTTTAAAGCTTATTTCTTGTTTTATTATGCATCTTTTTCGGGGCTGGAAGGGAATATTAACATTGAATATCGTACCTCAAAATCCTATGAATATTAAATATTCCCTGAAAAATGTACGGAATACGGGATATTTCAATAAAACACACACAAAAGCGAGAATAGGAAATACTCATCCAGCTTAATTAATTTATGAATTAAAAGAAATTGAAACACAGACTACTCAATGATGCTCTCAATCAATCGATACTTATCTACTTACATARCTAAAATCACAAGGAATATCCTCCGAAATATTATCAAGGAATGGGAATATTCACCACTGGACTACAGCGGAATACGGAATATCTATATATATTCCCCTTCCAACCCCGAACGAATCTTTTACCTATTTGTGCTTGTTCCCATTGCTGACTCTACAATACCATAATACTTTTTCGACAACAAAAAAGTTGGGGGGGAAGGGGAGAAATGGGAGAAATTTTCATTAAAATCATCAGTAACACTTCGAAACTCACTTTTTTATTCATTAAATGGTAGTTTGAGCAACATTTCATTCATTTTGAGCTGTTTGCCTCAATGCTTAGTTTCTTAATGGCATTTAAAAAAATTCAAGATGGCGGTCCAAGATGGCGGATCCTAAGATGACGTTTATTCTTCTCAAAATTGCTTTATTTTAAATTGTTTAACTTCAAAAACTCCTCAAATTGTAAAGTTTACCATAAAGTACCGATGTAGACAAAAAAGGGAGATTTGGAGTCAAATTATTCAAAGACTACAAAGACACTATAGGAAATGACTTCATCACAATTATGACGTCACATCTGTTACCATAGATACAGAATTAGCCACAACATCACAGGAGAGCAATAACGTCTAAATACGATATTTAACTGGTTATCTAGATATAGATATATAATTTATAAAAATTACCTGATATCTATGACGTCATTGTGACGTCATATAGAACAGGGGATAATTATAAAAAGTAAAAATATTATTTCCAAGTCATTTCAATATTAAACAGATGACATTTCAGTATTCTTTATGACATTGTAGGACTTGTAGGCAATTTATTAAAATGAAAAATAAAGTCGTTAAAATGGTGTAAATGACGTCATTATGACGTCATGTTTGGTTCCCACGGGTCAAGACTGGGTGTGGTGGTTCGCTTTACGTGGGCGACCGCCAATGTGTTAAAATTTCATATTGAAGATATTCAGGTGGGCCGTATTTTCTATTTACGATGGATGATTATTGTAGATTTTCTAATTGTCAGACGCGTAGCGTCCTTTACTCACATATGCACGTGCGTACTAGTGGCGAAATTAAAATTTTCGTGATTTGATGCCTTTTATTTGCTCTCGATGCCCCTCAAAACGCTGGAAATCGGATTTCTAAGAGTTATCATTTCAAAATGTCCTGGGGAAGGAATCCCATATTCCCTTAAGTACACCCATCTATGGCGGTCGTTAGCCCCCAATCCCAAATATGAAAACATTATAGTGATGCAAGCGACATTGATTCTAATTTAGTGCTGCACGAAATGGGATATTCAAGTGAAGAATTAAAAAAAAATGACGAAGCAGAAACAATTTAACCCCTTAAAACAAGAAGGGAGTATAGCAACCTTAAAGATCAACATACTGATTTGTTTAGATTAAAATTGGTTTATGCATTTTCGTGCTTGAACAACCGGGTGGGTCATGAAACTTTGAGCAAATGTATGGGTGTGGGTCAGAGGGATAATTTATCATGACCACCAGTAAAAATATGTGGTGGTCATGATACTGCKTCAATTTTGTTTTGAAATTAGTAAGAGAAGTTATACTTCTCAGATAGGCCGGAAGTGTGTTCCATACTTTGGCACCGTTATACAGAAAAGAGCTCTGAAATTTAGATGTTTTAGGCAGCGGTAAACGGATTTGGTCTTTATGTCTAGTATTGTAAGTATGGAAGTCACGAGAAAAAGAGAATTGGTTAAGAAGATAGACGGGTGCTAGGCCATGCAGGCACTTAAAAACAAGTAAAGAAATTTGATAATTGCGGCGCGCCTCCAGCGAGGGCCATCTTAGCGTATTACGAACTTCAGACTGTTGAACAATTCTGGACTCAATTGTACTAACAGCACGCCGCTGCAGCCTGTCGAGATAGCTGCGGTTTGTCTGTCCGCAGCCACCCCAGACAGCAGAGCAGTAGTCAAACAATGGAAGCCTCTCGAGGAACGACCCTACGGGCTTTCCGCAGCATGCCCAACCTGGATGATATTTTGGAGGATATATAGTTAATATGGTCGTTCCAAGAGAAGGTTGGGTCAAGCATGACTCCAAGATACTTAAATTGATAGACTCTGTCGAGAATGTTATTGCGTACATGGATAGTAAAGCTATTTACCCTGCTAAGGCGTTGGTGCGTGACAACTAACATGATCTTTGTCTTACTATAGTTAAGAAACAGAAAATTACTTGTCTAACCAACCAACAATTCTGCCAAGGTCTTCAGTCAAATGATGTTCGATATCAGAGATAGAATTGCTGCTGTAAAAWAGCAGTGTGTCATCAGCATAGAGCTGTATTTCACARTTATTAACTACAGATGGAAGATCGTTAATATATGCTATGAAAAGCAGCGGGCCAAGGATAGAACCTTGGGGAACGCCAAATGCAATCRGTTGAGGGTCCGAAACAACACCATTAACACATACACTCTGTGACCTATTACTTAAATAGGCTTTAAACCAATTTACAGCTGCATCGGAAAACCTAGATCTTTCAGTTTATTCAGCATCGATGCCGTGTTGACTTGCTAGCCTAGCGAAAAATAACCGGAGATGATCAAGTCCCATGAACAGTCTTGAAGTCATGAACCAGCCTGAGCTCTTCAATTGAGCTTAACATTTCCTACAAACATATAGTCGTTTTTGTTGTTGTTTCTGTTATTGTTGTTGAGTTTTTTGATGTTGAATGCATGTTTGTCTTCTTATTCATTATCTTCACAGTAACCTATGGCTCGATAAAATATATTTTGTTCTGGCTACATTCTCCCATCCTTGCAATTCTTCCTTTGTAAAGCTCAGTTTTAACCATCAGTAAGTTGTTTCGCTACTTCCTTTTTCTTTTTACACAACTGTATCGGTGGTATCCTTTTTTGAAGGGGCCGGGTCTCTTAACCTTATTCAGGCCGGGATTTTTTTGCAATCTGACTGGGAGGGGCTCATAATATTTTTTTGTTTTTTGTTTTAATTGTCCCCCGTTCTATATGACGTCACAATGACGTCATAGATATAAGTTGTTTTTATAAATGATATATCTATATCTAGATAACCAGTTGAATATCATATTTAGGCGTTACTGCTCTCATGTGATGTCATGGCTCGTTTTATATCTATGATAACTAATRCGACGTCATAATTGTGATGACGACATTTCCGTCTTTGTCGTCTTGGAATAATTTGACTCCAAATCTCCCCTTTTTCTGGCTACATTGGTATTTTATGGTAAAATGTATAATTTGAGGTGTTTTTGAAATAATAAAATTAAATTAAAACAGAAAATTTTGACAAAAATATCCGTCATCTTAATTAGGATTCGCCATCTTAGACCACCATTTTGAATTTTTTTAAAATACCATTAAGAAACTAAGCATTGAGGCGAATAACTCAAAATATATGAAATCCTTCTTAAACTAACAGTTAATGAATAAGAAAATGAGTTTTGAAATGTTACTGATGATTTTAATGAAAGTTTTTCCCATTTGAAAAAATGACTTTTAAGAAAAACTACCCACCCCTCTCCACAAAGTTTTTGTTGTCAAAAAATTATCATGGTATTGTAGAGTCATCAATGAGAGCAATCTCAAATAGGTAAAAAAATGCATAATAAAACAAGAAGTGTGCTTTAAAAATGAAACGTTGTTGATTTTATTTTTTTTGAAAACCTATGTGTCAAAAACTGGTTGCCATAGCAACATGGATGACTATATCAACATAAAATGTAAATCAAAATCTGTCCAGGTAAATTTTAGGAAATGTCCGAAAGTTTCAGAGCTGTAGCTGTCTTAGTTCGAAAGTTATTGGCATTTTACTCGATAGCTTTTGAGTGCTTTTTAGCTTCTTCCTCCTCTCCCCCTCCCCCAGTCTTTATGATGCTAGTTTTGTTCTTCTGAAAAAATAAGACTTTTATTTGCAAGGAGTGACGTGTTATTAAGCGGTTTCCCACTTTAAAACTGCTGGAAATTGTATACAATGAACGAAGCTTCTCCAAAACATTAATGAATAACACCATTGTATTTGCTCACTCTGCTTTTATTAACCTTACTTAACATATATAGTACGTAATACTACGTGAGCCAGGTAGCACCGCTCGGAACGGGTCTCATGATAGGTTGAGAAAACAATGGACAAACAATAGATAAGTCTTCCAACAATATAACAAAACCTAACCTAACAATAGTGGTGCTGTACTTAAGGAGCAATCAAAAAGCAGGTTTCAATTGGTACTGCATTACTGTACTATGTTGATCAAATCCATTTGAATCGTTTCGATCCAATCAGTTTAAAAAAATGTCAGGTGACTTGCTTTAATRTTAGTTTTTGATATTTATTTTGCATGGTTTTTGGTTTCTTTCCGATCAATTTGATACAACCTTTGCCTCGATCTGAGTGTTATTTCGCCCCATAACTTGGTCACTAATTCCACACCTTGGATCATTTGRTCCTGTGGGATACTCTCGAGACCAAAACAGATTTAGAACCCATACATTCATCTTGGTATAGATAGTTCGCTGCAATGTTGAACAATATAACATTTCATTAATATATCACTACATTATACTGCTATTTAAAAAAAGTTGATAAACATAAGAATGCATCTAAAACGGTGCGTTACTATCAACAGAATGCTTTCTAAAATGCGAGCAATTGATCCTTGACTCTTGATTGGTCAATTGGATGCCACTCAAATAAAAGTTTTAGAGTGACTCATCAAAACTTCCAGAAGCCAATCCGAAGCAAAATATATTTTTCCACGTAAAATTTCGAATGTAGCTGCTTGAAAAATACAAACAAAGCTTGTATTTCTTTGAATATATATTGCCTAAAAATATTTATTCTTAAGAAAATTTCGCTAGTCAGTAAATATGTTTTTGTCGCTAGTCAGAAAATTTCATTCAAATTTGTCTCGAGTCAGTTGTCATTTTGTCTATTTGTCACTAGTCGGTTAACCCCATTCAGAACCTGATTATAACATCGATGATTTCAGTGCTGGTCATCTATATAGCAGGTATTTACTTTTTATTAGAYATAGCGTGTAATCTCATTGGATGATGACTTTGCTTGTTAATATAAGAGAACAGCAGAGAACCGAAAATTCATTACGACTCTTGTGTCCCCCTTTTTTTTCTATATTTATGAAAGGAGACTACAATCGTTGACAAAATCCTTGGACCATTCCAGCGAATTTCCTCATTTTAAGCAACACCMGCAGACAATTTCATCCCCCCTGACCCCCTTAATGCAATGTTGTCATTGATCATGTTACCATAGTACACAACCATCCAAAACAAGACCCAACATTGATGAAAGGGGGCTAAGGGGGAAAACTGTGAAAAAAATCAAAAAGGAAAATGTTAGGCTCGAGACAAATAATGCTATGGTATATATTTTGGCAATGATTGTAGTTGTTTTAGGCGCATCATTTCCATAGAAAAGTACCCATACAGAAATTATTATGTCATATGTTCATGACTGCGCCATATTTGTTTACACAGCAATATTTTGATCAATAAGAAAGCGTTTGTTTGATGTAATAGTATGGCCGCTTTAACTTCTTGTAAAATCATAAAATCAAGAATATAGAGGATATTACATGGGAGCGCATAGATACGTATTTTATCTTCGAGCGTTGAAAAGATCTCCTCACGAGTGAGCGTTGCGAGATTTTTAATTTGAGAAGATAAAATTCGTATYTCCAAGCGACCATTTTATCATTTTTATAATATCATTATGAGACAACATTTCCATATTTCTATTTTTAGCGTTATGTCTAGTAAATTCCAGTATGTTCTAGAATGTTCTAGTAAGCTAGTCATCTGGTTATCGTTTATTTCTACCTGTGCCTTGCATTAGTTAAACAAACACTTCTTTTTGACATAATCATGATTAGACTAAGATAAAATATCTATTTCATAAAATACGTCTTTGTTAGCTGTTTCAAAGTTCGCATAGCATTTTAAGTCATCCTTTTCCAAATAACTTAGGTTATCATCTTATAGGTTTTCCACATTAGTTTGCTTGGATTATATATGAACTTTAGCTATGTTCAAACACTAGTTGCGACTTGCGACTATCTTAGGTTTCACTTGCTAGATATTTCAATAATGTCCAACTTTCATTAAGCTTTCTGATAAGAATATAAATTGACAACATAATGAGATTACAACATAACATGACAACATAATGAGATCATTTCTATAGTAAATATAATCTGGATTTCCCATCTAATTTTGTAGGATGCTTGCACGCAACTTGCATCGTTGTAATGCTACCGCTAAATTCAGCTAAACCCCTCCTACGAAAGTGTATACCTCGAGCGACGCCCTGTCGCCCATCGCTCGTTCAAAACATTGTAACTTCATTATATTGAATATTCATTCAATATAACTTTGTAGAAAGTTAGTCCTTTATTAGATCTACCGTCAGTCTTAATTTTATATCTGAATTCAACTTAAAACTACCTTGGGGCATAGCATTTTCGCATTCTACCCAAGTTGAACATATCATTAGTTATCCATCAAAAGTTTGTCTTAGCCAATCATACTTCAATATAGTTTGCCAATAACTGTCAGTATGCACTTGTAAAAATATGCACTATAAAAGGTAGATTGTAATTGTATATCTCAGAGTTGAAGCTACAAGCGAAGTTGTAAGAAGTCTTTGGTTGGTGTCTTTCTTAAATAAAAAGCTTTGATCCAAGTACCGGCTCTTATCTGAGTAAATCCCACAGCTTACAAGCCAAAGACCCTTGTAACAATATAATTTAATATCAAAGCAAATTATGTCGCAAATTAGCTTTTTTCTTACTTCCACTATATAGAGAAACCTCGACAAAATAACATAAACTTTGTGCAGTGGAGAAATATAGGTATTTCATAGATAAATATATGATAAACATGATAAACATAAATATCTAAATTGCCACATATCGTATGCACCTTCGCGAAATTGTCAAATGTTATGGCCGAAATGTCTTGCTATTCGCTTCTGCACATCGCTGAAATTTCTATGGACAAAGGGCAGGAACAAATCTGTTCTTTCCTGGGTATCGCATTTGCCTCGCAATTGACGGTTATAGAGCGGATTTCGTATGACTGGGAAACGGACGGTACTGTACTGTGTYCGTAATCGTACTGTAACCAAATTCTAGTTCCCCATTATTTCACCAAAATTCTGCAAGCCAGGTGCGGTAACTATGCGGTAACCGTGCGGTAACGGTGTCCCACTCATGCGAAATCCGCTCTATCTGAGAAATCTGAGTACGACAAGGGCGGCCACTCATCTTATAACAACTCTTGCCCAAAAAAAAGTTGAGTAATGATTCTTAATCAAATACGATCAAGGAGTCTGTGACCATATATATCCACACACAGTTGATGATTTCTAAAAATAAATGAATCCTCTGCCTTTACATGATGTTTTAATACGACCGAGCTTTTTGCCTAAGCGGCCATTATCAAGGTAGAGTATACAAACAACGCAAAAAACGGAAAGTGTTTCCTCACGCGCAGAGGTTCATTTATTTTTGGTACTTATGCCTGCGTACAAAGAAATAGACCTAATCGGCTAAGGGCGTTGCTATGTACGTTGCCGCCAAATTCAAATCCTGAGGGAAAAAGAATTTTTATTTCTAAGAATTCAACTGTGAAATGAAAATACAACGAACAATGAAACTTATACTCCCGGGTGGTTTGAATTGAAGCCGATTACGTCTATTCTACATAAAGTTGATGATTTATTTACCAACGCTTTATTAGATATACAGCGCAAAATGTTTTACAGCTGTAACGTTCGGATTTCCTAAAAGTATAAAACCGTAATATGGCTTTTTAATCAGACAAAAATGCGCATAGCCGAAAGAGAGCAAATCTTGGAATCAATTCTAACAATTGGAAGATATCGGGGRAAAATTAGCTACCAATCTACATGATATAAATGATGCCTTAAAAATATATTGAGAAACTTACATCAAATTCCCGGCAGTTTTTGTTTGTTATCGTCCTTGAATCCTGGCATGGTAAGTTTGCGTCAATTGGCATTTCTATTCTATAAGTTCCAAATGGACTCGGGCATTCCGGGCTTCCAAGAAGTTTATTATCATCAGTGAGCGAACCAGTAAGACGAGAGCACATTGGGATTAAGCGAAGATCTCTTTCCGTAATACAAAAAGACGAGTCGGCTGAAATGGAAATCAAACTTTTTAGCCTTTGCCTTTACTACTACTACTAGTACTAGCAAGTTCTACAGTACCAAATCCTTACATTCATGCCGAATCTCAACTTTCAGAAAATTTGACCTTTATACTTTACATCAATCAATTGGCCCTTTTCATTACCAGCAATCCGAGACATTTTGTTGCCGCGATGATTTTGGTCTGCGGTTGCTCATTAACACATTTGCATCAGCATTTTGCCTACTGCCTATTACAGTCCTTAAACCATGTTTTACAGTGTTTTGAACGAGCTGTTCGCTATCCACACAAGTTAAAACACTGCAGACACCTCTTGAGAGTTTGAGTCTTCGGTTATGTAAATCGGCATTATTAGTTCCCTTGACAACCGTGAAGCTAGTGCAAAATCGCCTTTTCGAGCATCTCATTATTAAAGCCTTTAAAATTTGCCCAGAATTTTGGAAGGAAAAAGGTGAAAATGTCGGTTGCTCTTGCTAAGCAAAAACACTGACTCTTTATGTGTAAATGATAGTAATACTTGCATATCAATACTTGAATTAAATAAAATAAAATATTATAATAGAAAAAAATAGGCCAGGTCTCTAAGTAAACATGAACATGGCTGAAGTGCTGATTCGTTCGTTGTCTGCAATAGCTAGAAGTATTACACTTTTAAATGATAAAAGTCGGAATTATCGTACTTCCAAATAAGGGATGAATTAAGGAGAAATTATTTATTTTCAAAGGAAAGTTGAGTATAAAAATGGTGTTATTTCCAATTAAAGCAATTGTTTATAGTTCTTTTAGGCGATACTCACTCTCCCCTGCTTTTTCGGCCTCGTCACATTTTGCTTCGTCTGTTATTGTGAGACGATTGAACCAAAAATCTTTCTGACGTCGTTGCTGGCGGAATTTCCTGATATTATTATGTCCATCCCTAAAAAAAGATGCACCTTCTCGTGTCATGTTTATATAAACCTTTTTCGGCATGTCGTTCTTTTCTTGGGATTTGTCTCCATACAATTCAATGTGGATCTAAAATGAAAATGTCCCACTTTCTTGTTATCATGCTTTTGCAGCTAATACTCCAGTTTCGAATTATCTTATGTGAAAGCTTTGCTTCAATTAATCAAGCATAAATTCTTATTGTCTTTTTTGTACACAGAGTGTTTGCACGGATAAAAAATGCAGCGCCGACTTCATTTTTATTTTTTGTATTTTATTTTATTTTTCCACGTCGCAGTTAAGCAATCTCGAGGACCCTGGATCGCAGGTTCCCATGTTCGACCCTCGACTCAAGCACACTTTTTCTTTCTTTCTTTCTTTCTCCCTCTCTTCCTTTCTCCCTCTCTTCCTTTCTCCCTCTCTTCCTTTCTCCCTCTCTTCCTTTCTCCCTCTCTTTCTATCATTTTTTTCTTTGTATCTTTTTAACTGAAATGAAGTTGTTATAGTCATGTTGATTTTTTCTGTAAATATTCTTTTGATAATCATTTTCGAGGCGTTATCTTAATTTTACTTAGGATCGCGGGATCGATTCTCGCCGTGATAGTTTCGATTGAGAACTGGTAGTTGTCTGGACCTCATTAATTTATAAATATGAATTAAATGTAATATATATTACACATTGGTGCACCCCACAAAAATTATCACCATGAAGAATGAAGATACAAAATAAGGAAAGTATTGAAATAAATAGATCTCAGGAGAGGTTGCACACCCCCTGCACCCACCAGCTGAATCCGCCTCTGTTTAGAATGCCAAATTACAGCAGTTTGAGACAATTTGAACTGGATCAAAAGAATTTGTACTGGTTCAAAACAAATTGTGCTGGTTCCAAACTAGCACAACAATATGCAGAAATTATGATCTTTTTGCTCATATTTCAAGTACATATAGAATATATCAGAAATTATGGGATATCTTTGGCAATATTTTTTTCAGAAAGTACTAGTGCTAGGCAACTTCAAAAAAATATTGGCGATGACATCCCATAATGTCTGATATATTTTAGATATACTTGGAATATGAGTCAAAATGATCATAATTTCTGCATATTGCTGTATATACACCTACTTGCGAAAACGTTGTCATAAAAAATAGGACATTTGTATTTAGTAAAAAGGAATGAAATAAAAAGACAAAAGAAGATCACTGAGGCTGAACGCTTTCTTTTGTCTTATTGATTTTATTCCTTTTTACTAAATCCAAATGTTCTATTTTCTATGACAACGTTTCTGCCAGTAGGTGTATATCATATATATATATGATATATGTATTCTTACCTTTAGAAGACGAAAATTATAACACGTATCACAGCTGTCTTTGATTGGAAGGTGAAAAGTTGCTTTATTACCTTCGTGTAGGTCTTTAAAAAGCTGTCAAACACAATTAGGGACTATTAGGGATGTAATGATTGTCGGGGTAATACTAACTGATACTGAAAACAAAGGGAAATTGTCAGACAGTAAGTGTGAGTACTTTCAACTCTTTAAAAAACAACTGAAAAATCTAAAAAGTTCAATCTTTTCATACATACTGTGGCGTGTTCCTCCATATTAAACGTCCACTTGTGAGTTTTAGTGACGTAATTAAACTTAGTAAAACAATTTCGTCCCTTATTCTCGATGTTATCTATCTCCTGTAAAGCGTTGTTTAGCTGAAGAATGCCTCTGAGCTGCCCTGTGCCAGTAGCTGCATCGGTTGCAGTCCGTTGAAAAGCAATCAAGTTTTCTGTGACAGGCCAGAGTGTCCGAAACTCAAAGCTTTTGTACAGCATCACCAGCTTCTTTAAGAACATGTTTTCCATGTTCTGATAAGATGTCAGGAGATCGTCAAGAAACGTCTCTTGGATGCTGTCAGCGATGGGAGATTCTACAAAAGCCAAAATCAAAGTAAGAATGCTAATAGCGCCCAAAATATCATACATAACAAATAAGGCTAATTCATCAACTCCATTTTTCATGAAAAACTGAACACTTTTAAGCAAACATAGGCCTCGAAAAAAAAGATCAATATCCTGTTTAATTTGCTTTGTGAATTTTGTCATGGTCTAACCTCGGAAATAACCTACAGCTATTAAGGTTACATGTGATTATAGATCAAGAAATATCACTAGAAGGTGCTATAACTATGTTGTGTTCACGTGCAAGTAATGTATTTGTTTCAGCGGGACCGGAACATATCTTTATTCCCAACTATTTTAATCACTCAATCCAAACCAAAACTGAATCTAAGAGAAACTAAAGGACCCTTTCTCAATAATATTTTTTATGTGTAACATTTCGTAATGATCTTCTCTATAAAGTTCCGCTATAAGGTGTACTTTACCTAACTTTTGTTCTAAGAAAACCAGCAATTCTAATAAGCAACCTACGTTTTCATCAAAACTCGAGATTCTTACCCTTTCTATTACTAAGACTTTCAAGTTTGTCGGCTGTCTCTTCCAAATTYGGAATGTCGAAGTTGTGGCCACCGATTGCATTGTCTAAATCAATGACCTTTGCGATGAGGTCAATCCTTGCAGAACCGGCAATGAAGAATCTTTCGATATCTTGCTTGAACTCAACTAATCTGCCGTGGGTTTCTGGTAACCGTCCCTCCATCAAGCACACAAGATCAGCTAGAAGACTCTCTTTTTTCATGTCAAGGTTCGCCTTTTGAAGCAAAATGTAAAAGAAATTGTTATGTTTATATATATAATTTTACACATGTATGCCGATTTACAAGAATCGAGTTATTTCATTTTTTTTTATTGATATCACATTGCAAAAGAATCTAAAGAATGAATGACTTAATTTTATTCTTGTGTATTTAATGTCTCCTGAGTAGTGAACTATAAGCTGATTAGCTTGAGTGTTATCATCTATTTGAGTACAAAATAGTAACTTATTGTAAATAACTATTTAATTTTTATTTCACGCATTAATATTAAATTAAAGTTTAAACAATTCTGGAGTAATTTCCAGTAACTTTAGTTACAAAACCGGACTAGATTTCCTTTCGGAGTGAAATACACATTATTGTGTAATGTTTCTGAATACGTATTTTTGGCGCAATATGCAGGAATATGAGGACCCCTACAATTAACAAAATTGAAATAAGCAATGTGTGTAGCGAGCACGTAAATGTCGATTTATTAAAAAAATATCAAGACTAAGTCTCTCACTTGTTCGGCCTACGCCCATGTACTATCTTCCGTATAAGTAATTGTCAGAATACCTGCATAACCTCTGGAACAGCTCCTGGATCTAATCTATCAAAATCCAATTCACTAGAGTCTTGAAGAGCTTGGTACTCCTTACCAAACGTTAGCCATTTTTTTAGTTTTCCTTTGATTTCATTTAAGGACTGAAGTGAGCATTTTGTTGCAAAATTTTCAATTACACCCAAAGCGGATTCCAATGCGGCAAATGGGTCCTTTCCTGCAGCGGCACCAGCAAATCCAGTAGCACCTTGCAATATTGCAAACATGTCCTGTTTGGTAAATTGTGCTTCGGCGGTCAATATTGTAGAAATATCACTTATTTTCAGCAGAGTGTTGTCCATGGTTACTTCGAGCTCCTTGATAGMCTAATAATAACAAGGATAATAGTTTTAGCTGATGCTGGAAAGGCTGAGTATTTCTAAGGAAGACCAGGTACAACTTATGAATTAATGAAAAAATTAACTTGCATCTGCTAGACAGACGCAGACGGACTATACCTATATACTAGCTATTGGAGCAAAAGACACTCCTCAGAGCTAGTATTTTATATATAAATATATATGATATCAAAGAGGCAAGATTTGCTGTAACTCCGAGACTCTTTGATATCATATATATAACTAGCTCTACACTTTATGTGTATTGAGCACTCTTTAATGGGATCAGCTACTTCCTCATACGATTATATATAAATATATATTATTTATATTTTTTATCTTAGTGCCATAGACATTTTCTGAAATAAAAAATCTTGGTGCATTGTGGTCTAGCTGCAGTATAAACAACTTCATATTTGTTAAGAATTTCGTCGTACACAGGCATATTATTATTGATACTTGTTGATTCTTCTGTGCAAAATTGATTTATTTTTTAACCGAGCTTTCGGCTTAAGCATCCATTTTCAAGGCTGTAGTACACGTGATGATCTAATCAAACGTAGTTAACTGAAAGCGCTCGAGGAAACTACAATACGCGCGCGCTCTGTTTACAAATGAAAGAAAGTATAAAAATATTATTAGGGCAAATGTGACAAATTAAATGGTTTTAAGTAATTGGATGTAGCTATCGGGAAGAGTTCTTCCAGTGTCCCTATTTGATATTATGTTGATTTTATTTGTTTTTGCTATTAACACTGCTTCCATCCACTTCCTTTGGTGCCACCTTGTCTCGTTTCTTAAGACGGAGGTGTCCTTCCAGTTGATGTTGTGACCAAGGCGGTTGGCATGCTCTGAGCGCGTATTGTAGTTTCCTCGAGCGCTTTCAGCTACTACTACTACTGCTACTACTACTACTACTACTGCTACTACTACTACTACTGCTACTACTACTACTACTACTACTACTACAACTACAACTACT